GCGGTTCAGAGAAGCTTGTTAAATCCTGAGTTCAAAATGTGTACTGTTGAAGTTTAGATCTGGCACTGTAATGCCCACAGTGTAAACTGAATGAAAGCTTCAGGCACTTAAAAGGCATGGTGTAAAGAGAAAGAAGATTCCTATTGCCATAGGACTAGGTTTGTCAAATATACAGTTTAAAACAGTCTGGTCAAATATACAGTTTAAAACAGTCTGCTGCGATTAACAGCCCACAACTTGATTCTGCTCTGTGAAATGCTTTTGGTTCTGCTTGGGCTTCAGTTGCTTTCTGACAAAATGTGAGTAATACTGTTAATATTCCAGGCAGCTGTCAGATGATTTCCTAGCACGTTGAGTCAAATCCATGTGTTACAGACATGCAGGCCAGTTTTGTGCCGTCCTTCACTTTCCTTGCTCGACCCTTTGTTGAGCTAGATTAAAATGAGTAGTGGTGGTAGTCTCAACATTCAGATCCTACCTCAAATTTGTCTGTAACATAGTAATCCAGGATTATTTGATTCTTCTAGCAAAGTTTCCTGTCTGCAGTAGTTGTAAAAGAAGCGAATGGTGTCTTCCAACCATATCCACTGATGATATCCAGATCTGCTACAAATCCTTTGTAATTTGCCTTTACCATTGGCAAAAGGGCTGCAAAGCGATTGTGAGATTATTCCAACCTTTGTTTTTATTGTGAAGCATAGACTTTTTCTTACTGTCTGGGTAAAATACATTACCGCAGTGGAAAAAAAAAAAGTAAATATCACATTAGATTTAAATTCTCATTTTCTTAACTTCAGCTAAATCTTTTTTGCATTTTTCTAGAGCACGCTGGTCCTTTGCCCTTACTGGTTTAATTTTCAGTGATGCTCAGCAATAAAAATTTTTGCTGATTTGGATAGGAATTTGGCTGATCTTTGTTCTGAAAATCAGGATATTTAAACCTTTACTCATCCTGCAACCTCCTAGCCCACTAAATAGGAATTATAGAGCATATGGAGTGCAACTTTTCTCAGAGATGCACAAAAAGAACAAGAAGCAGCAGTCAAGTGCACAAGGGAAATGCAGATTGTATAGGAGAAAATCCTTCACCATGAGGCTATTTAAGCACTGGAACTGGGGCTTAGAGGGCTTAGAGAGGTTATGATAACTTAATCTTTGGAGATTTTCAGAACTTGAGTGGACAAGGCCCTAAGCCACCTTCCCTAACTTTGAAATTTTTTGAGCAGGAATTTGGACTAGATGACCTCCACAGATCCCTTCCAATGTAAGCTTTTTCTCAGATTCTGTGATTGTCCATTTGGATTAAGCCCTTTTGCTCAGAGGGGATCAGATGTGAAAGTGTGTAGCTTTGAAATTTTAATAGCAGCAAAGTATACGTGTGAATACATGTTTTTCTATCAAAACCATGACCATGTTTATGGAAAATGTAGATATTAAAACTATATTCTACATGACTCATTTTTCACAGCTACTGTTCAGAGACAGTTTTATTTTGCGCAGAATCAGTCTCTAAAGGTAGTAATACTAGTATTTGTAGAACACAGATTTAAGTTCCAAAATTGATCATAGTTGTTTTATGTCATTTGCAGATCCATTTAAGTACTTCAGTGAGAGTCAGGAACATAAAATTTGGTTAATTTCATTTCTGGGTTCATAGTAAATCATTAGGAAAAGTTTTGCTATGCATATTTTAGAAATACTGCTTAGAAGCTTATTTTATTCTCTTCTAACACTTCTACTGTTGTCTTGTTTTCCCTCACAGCTATCTGCATCATATTGGTGCATTTACTGATAAAATACAGACTTCATTTTTTACCAGAGAGTGTGGCTGTTGTTTCTTTAGGTGAGTAACCATGACGTTTTTATCCTGAGTTTGTGTTAATCGGGGGGCTCTCGGTAGTCTATTTTTCGCTTGAAATAATGCTCTGTTGTATGTTAGCCATCATTAGAGAGATGTTGCAAACTAAATGCAGTTTAAATAGAGGAAAATAGCTAACTTATAGAGTTAAATTAATGGAAGAATTCAGAATATAAGTGTACACACAGAGATTGGCCCAGTAAAATGTCAAATATAGGCAATATAGTAACGTTACTGCCTTGGTACTTTGGCAACTGCCTCCACTTTTGCATCTGCGCTGTAGGACAAGATACTGCAGTAGTGCCTGGCAGCCAGACTCTGGCCTGCCCTTTCTCAAGTGGCACCGGTGTTTGTTTCAGTTACAGTAGAATGTTATGTCTCGTGTATGTGATTTAATCTAGCTGGAGAATATAATTGTATCCTGAAAACTTGCCTAGAAACTCAACTATTCCTGTAGTACCACAACAAGAGCTCTTTCTATGACTTAAGATACAAGAACGCCACCTGTAATGGAGATCAAGTCCTTAACTAAGTTGAAGTAAATGTGGAGTAGTCCTAGACCTGCAGTTTTATGTTAGGGTAACTTCACTTATAAATCAGGAGCAACAGCATACAAATAAATGTGTAAAGGAGGAGGAAATCAGACCAAATACATTACGGTAGACAATACATCCAGAAAATGTTTAAACCACCTGGTTTAACTAACCCCAGGCAACAGCCTTTCAGCTGTCTCTGTAACTTGCTTGCCAGAATCTATGTGGTATCTTTGCTTCTGTTACTACTGACACTTTCACCAACAGCCATTCAGAAAAGTATAGCACAAAGAGAAAAAGTCTTAGCTGCAATTCTAACTTAGAGGAGTGTAAAGCTTGTTGAACAGGTAGTTTTTCATCTTTTGCCTGAGCTCTGCCTGCTGTACTTTCTGGCACCTTCTCTCATATCTCTGAACTCTGTTTTCACACAAATTCTCGACGATCTCCTTAACCAAATTTTTCAGCGGAAGGAAATAAGCTTTCCAGGGCTTGACAGTGCCTTATGCTTTCTGAGCCTTCTTGCATCCTGGGTGCTAGACTGAAAAGATCTCAGAGCTGTTACTTAGGAGAAAGAAAACAAATCTTTTCACCCAGGCATAACATCCTGAATTTCAAGATAGCTCTATTTAATCCAGGCCACATCACATTACTAGAATAGTTGAAGGTGTTGAAGCTTAAAGTGGCATTTGTCTGGGAGGTCATACTTGAGTTTTGATATTCTTGCGCAGCTGAAAAACAAATAGACTTCTAAGAAATCTGTCCTAGGGCTGGTATGGATTCCCTGGATGATGCACACATACCTCATCTTTATAATAGCAGTATCCGTCTGACTTCTTGTACACTTTTTCCATCTGCTGTAGTATGACATAGGGAAGAGCTGCTGCAAGTCATCCTCGCTTACTTTTTCATCCCCGTAGAAGCCATACAGTGTTTAATTCACTATTGACACGTTTCTCTTTCCTTTCTTAACATTGCTGTCTGCGATGAGGTGTTTTATGTGGTATCCCTTCCAGTGTCTTGAAAGGTTACAAAAGGACTTCACTGTCCCTCTCATGTCCTTCTTTATACACAAAAGTCCAGGTGAAAGGGGTTGATTTGGCTTCTAACCAAGCTAATTACCATTGTGATTAAATAGCTAATCTAAATTTAAGTAAAATTCCTAATTTAAAATGCTGATTAGTATGTTGATTAGTCTTGTTGGCTTAATTTGGGATTTTTTATGCTATTATTCCCTTGATTCTGCCCCAAGCCACCTACTAGGCAATGCTGACCTCAGGGGTTAGGCCAGCATGCGTCACTGCTCGTGATGAGGGTTGCAGAGAGCAGCACAGGCACGGACGTTCTTCTCTTTCTGTTTCTTGTTCTTGGCATCTCAGCAGCAGGGCAAGGATTTTAGCTGTGCCCCTGAGTTCTGTGCTCCTGTCTCAACAACAGCCTATTCATGAAACTAGTAAGTTTTCTTACTGGGGCTGTCGTTGCTGTGGAAATTTGCAGCAATGCAAAGTATTGCATTGGAAGTAGCAGCAATGCATCTCTGGTATTTTTGCATGGAGGGCATGCAGTAAACTTATGCAGTTCAGTTTTTGGTGTGAACCACAGCATAGATGTAGTCTGTTTCCCAAACTGGACTGGATGATATCAGCAAATACAATTGCACTAAAGTCAAGAGAGAGTTATATCCGCCAACAACAGGACTAACAGATGTCCTGTGTCACTTAAGCCTTATTTATTTAGTTTATTGACTCAGTCATATTTACACTACTGTCAGCTCTGTTGACAGGACGTGGCATCTGTATAATCACTAGAATTGCCAGCTTAATTGCTGGTCAGTGAACCTCTGTTGCTGCTAATGATCTACACAGCTGCAAGAGCACAGCTTGAGTTTCAAGTATCCGGTTTTGCCAGCAGTGCCAGAAGTGAGGTGTGTTCTATTTTGACTTGTAAATTAAGCATATGTTCTCAGGCAGTTATTGAGGGCTGATAAATATGGAAGCAGAGCAGAGAAGTGTGATTTTTATGACTGTTTCTCCTCCCATTGTCTAAGCGGCACACAAGCCTGCATTTTAGAATTTCTAGGGTAGGTTACTTTTCTGGTGGAAAAGGAGGCAGTGCATTCTCTAAGACTGGATTTTGACCTTAGTCCTTAAAAGTTACTGGAATTTGTTTGGTGTAAAAAAGTTGCTAGAAACAATTTTCTCAGGAAAAATAAAGGTTGTTTATATTAAGGAACTTGCTATAGAGTTTTCAAAGGACTGATGCTTAGATTAACTGTTACTGACTTAAATTTCCAATTAGTCCCTTGGCAAAAATGCTGTACAGGTCTTCCTAATTTAACAGATGGAACCAGCTGAAAGGAAACTGCTTTCATTAATCCAGTAATAAAAGAAGAGTAGGTTGCAAAAGTACACAGGAGAGGTTGTACAAATCAACATCCAAGTTTCGTACTGCTCCTCTTAAGCCCCCTGAGGTATTCTTTTGTGCAGCTGTCCTTCATGACTGCCCTTAGAGTAATCATGGTTTACTAATGCTGTTGTGCATCCTATGCAGCTAGAACTAACTTGTACTACAGAAAGGTGTGAGTTAGGTGTATGATTGAGGCTCATCCTTTTCTTTTACCCTCTGCTGTTGCCTTACATTTATATTATTGTTCATTTGACTTTTAATGTTAGAAGCAAATACCATCTGTCATTTGGAGCTAGGGTCATTAAAAGATACTCCCTTGCTTTAGTCTGTCTTTCTTCATTGTACTCTTAGTGAGTCCGTCTCCTGTCCCTGTGCGTGGGCTGAATTTCATATATGTTCTGGGAACCTAATAGTAATGAAGAGATAAGTTGGTTGTTCTGACTCGCTCAATAGGTAAGGATCTTCACTCTGGTGAATGATATCAAAAACTGTATGCTTATTGCCATTCAGCTCGGTGTTGCAGATTTTAGTATCAGATTTGGAATAGCTTTCCAAGATTTTGATTAACTGACAAGGTAAAATCAAAGTTGCATGTAAATTTCTGAAGCAGATTGATCAGTTTAAGTTGTTTTCCCAGCAGTTTGTTACCACCTTCTTAGCTGAGATGTAGTTGATTGTGTTACCATCATTTACTTCAGTGTGATATGAAACAGATTAGCCTAAACTACAGTTGAAGGTAGAGTAGGTGATTCTGTTTGTTTGCTCTGAAATTAATGCATATCAAACAATGAACTTTTTTAAAGTGCTACAGTTTCAAAAATAAATGTGTAACCATACCTTATTTTACTATGATAAACCCCTAATGCTTTAATTTGCTTGACAGAAATAAAGATTTTTTTTTTGCTTGAATCTGTAAATTTTCATAGCTGTCTAACAAAACTTTCTTAGAGGTGTTAAGATTTTCATCAAAATACAAATTTTGCTGTCTCAGTGTACTATATGCTTATGTTGGTTTTCTCATACTGTTGTTACTATTCAATTAATTTGTAAAAGCAGTTCATGTCATATAATAAGTAGAGTTAGTAAACCTCCACAAGGTGAGAGGTCATCATCTGTGTATGTCAAAAAAAGTCATTTTAAATGCATGTAAAATTACAGATGATGTCTTATTTTGGCAGATAAGCCACCAAGGGATCAACGTAATCAGCTTATTAGTATGTTACTCCCAGCTGTAGCTATTGGTATTTAAAAATGGTTTGGGTTTTAGATTAGAATATGAGAGATTACACATTACTGGTCAAAGAGTGCAAAGGTGTCAAGATTAAAAAGTAAACAAGGAATGAAAGCGGTAATTGAAAACAGATGCAGGAGATGTGTTGACTGCCATGGTTCCAGGTAGTAAGCTCCATCATTTGTTTCCTAGTCAGACAAAACTAATAAACAGAATTCTCTGAACAAATTATAGGAGAATACTGAGACAACCTCATGAAATTCAACCAAGGCAAGTGCAGGGTCCTGCACCTAGGCAGGAATAACCCCCTGCCCCAGTACAAGCTGGGGGTTGACTGCTGGGAAGCAACTCTGTGGAGAAGGACCTGGGAGTCCTGGTGGGCAACAAGTTAAGCATGAGCCAGCAATGTGCCCTTGTGGCCAAGAAGGCCAATGGGATCCTGGGCTGCATTAGGCAGAGTGTGGCCAGCAGGTCGAGGGAGGTGATCCTGCCCCTCTACTCTGCCCTGGTGAGGCCTCACCTGGAGTACTGTGTCCGGTTCTGGGCTCCCCAGTACAAGAGAGACATGGCACTGCTGGAGAGAGTCCAGCGGAGGGCTACCAAGATGATGAGGGGACTGGAGCATCTCTCCTATGAGGAAAGGCTGAGAGAGCTGGGCCTGTTCAGCCTGGAGAAGAGAAGGCTCCAGGGGGATCTGCTCAATGTCTATAAGTATCTGAAGGGAGGGTGCCAAGAGAATGGAGCCAGACTCTTCTCCGTGGTGCCCAGCGACAGGACAAGAGGCAACAGGCATAAAATGAACCACAGGAAGTTCCCTCTGAACATGAGGAAAAACTTCTTGACTGTGAGGGTGACTGAGCAGTGGCACAGGTTGCCCAGAGAGGTAGTGGAGTCTCCTTTGCTGGAGATATTCCAAACCTGCCTGGACACAATCCTGGGAAATATGGTCTAGAGGACCCTGCTTGAGCAGGGGGGTTGGACTAGATGATCTCCAGAGGTCCCTTCCAACCTAAACGATTCTGTGATTCTGTGAACTGATTACACTGTTTTTCTGGCCTAGACCAGATCAAAATGCTTATTCAGAACAAATAAGTATGTGGGCTGCAACCCTGGTTCTGCTGAAAGGATTTCCCATTTCCACAACACTGTTTGAGTCAGCTTGTGATTAGCTCTTCCTCTTTTTTAAAAAAAAAAAAAAATTCTTTGAGACAAGCTGCTTAAGTATCTTGAGCTCATAGGATAGAGATGCCCAGCCTGTAGCCCCAGGCCATAGTTGGCCTACTCCAGGGTCCAATTTCAAGAAATCCCTCTGGAGCAAGCCACAGAGAAGATAGCATTAGTTTGGTTGTGCCAGAAACCTGGGTAGGGAAGGGGCCAGAGTTCCTGGAGCAGGCTGCCAGATAGAAATGATTCTTTCAGAATTTATTCTTTTCCTTGTCTTGGTATGAAAAGTCCTAAAGAAACAGCACTTGCAGAGGAAGGTGGCAGAAAGACAGAGCCTCAGAGCCTGCCACCATAAGCAACTGCATGGCCCAAACAGCCAGAAATATTACACGTTGCTGCTTTAGAGATTTGTAGGGTTTTCAGAGATCCTCATTTCCCTAGTAAGCAATGTCTACCAACTGTTAGATTTGTGTAGGACTGTAAAATCTCACTGCTGTTATCAGTGAATGCAAGTATCTTAAAGGATTAGGCACATTTGCGCTCTCTCTAGTTCTCCTATGCTCCATTACTCATTTTTACTCATTGCATCCTGAAGAGAAGGTTGAATTGACATAGGTTGTCACCCACATCTGTCTGTGACAGGTTCATGTTATCTTTCCTGCCTAGGTTATGGGCCTTCCTGTATTAACAATGTTAAGAAAACAGAATTTTTGCAGTTTTTGCAGAATGACAGTATTTGTAGTTACAAAGCAGCTGGGTAAAAAAAGTATCTAAGGCAGAATCTTTAGTGTGAAATCGTCTGGGTTTCTGTGCTCTTTCCACTTTGAATTCTCTCCCAATAATTGATCATAAACAACAAGATCTGCAAAGTGACTCAGATACCCAATTCCTAAAGTGCACAACTCATCTATTCTAGTGTAATTTAGGTGCTTAAGCACTTCTGTGGAAGAGAGTTTAGGGATACCCTTTTCTTTCCGATCCTCCCTAAACAGTTTTATGTGAGGGCTCTCAGTGCTAATTTATGAACTACTCAAAAGTTTGTTTGAAAAGGGCACTTTATGAAGTTTGTGCCTTCAACAATATAGGCTGGGTTTTTTTCATATAAACTTCTTGTTAGGTCATGCAAGCAGTGTCTGTACCAGTCAAAGACAGTGTTGCTACTCTGCAAAAATTGGAACGTTCTAGTCCCTGGCTTCTGACCCTGCTTCCATCCCAGAATGGAAAGCCTCTATGTTAGTACTGAGATCTGTATTTAGTATATATTAACATGGCATGTGAGCGTCTGTGTTTGAGTTCCATCCTCCATCAAAGAACAGCAGACCTTTGATGTTCCTTCATTAAAATTTGTTCTTCTTTTCCATATAAACCATTTCATGGGGTGGTTATTTCTGTCCTCTGGTACCGATGCCGTCGCATAGTTCTGTATGAAAGAAGGCTTAGCTTCGTGGAACATTGGGTGTATGACACATCCATCAGGAGTAATCCATGTGATGCTGTTTGTAAGACTCTTTTGATAGCTACAGTATGACAGAATAAAAAATACGGGAAAGCGTGCTTTAAGCTTCTTGGCCACTTTTTACCTTTCGTTCAGTGAATTTTCACTTCTGCATACCAGCGTTTGACTAGTAAGCCTCCATTCTGTAAATAATAAAGAACTACACAGAAACACAAATGTGGAATCTGGCTAATGACAAGTTCCTCGTTAATCCTTGAAAGCAGTTAATGACCAGCTATGAATTACATTTTTGACTTGCAGAGGAAATCTTGTTAGTTTGGAGTTTTCTGTCTTATCTCTTTGAAGATGGATGAAAGGAAAGAGCACTATGACCTCTAGCCATTGGATTTGTAACATCTTTGATAAAATTACTTTATACTCAAATTAGTATTTCAAAATGATTTAAAATATGTGTAGTCCATTTGGGAAATAGTTCTGTCAGTGTCTCCACCCTGACTGCAATTTGTCCCCTAGTTCACTGCTGGTGTTAGGATTTCATTGAGACAAAAATCACTTCTGTGCAGAAAGCCTTTGATTTCATTTAAGCTGTGTTAATGTTGCGAATAGCATTGAAATGACGTGATGCTTTTGTGCTGTCACAGGTATATCTCACTCAGCTTCTGATTCTTCAGAAGGAAAGGGAGAATTTCATTTGAATGCAACTTAGGTGAAAAGCCTTTCTGAGCAGTGAGCACAGTGCTCTTGATACAAGTGTTGAATATGTAGAACCCCCAAATGACAGTTTTTTGGGAAGCTGTCTTAAACACACAACCACTTCTGTGTTATTGTGATTTAGGAATAGAAGACCTCCTGCTTCATGTTTTGCTGTGTTTTTACTTTTAAGACCCTGTTGACTGAGAGTCTGTAGCAGTTAATGGAAATAATGATGTGTTTTGTGGGTAATGCTTTAAGAATATTATCTTATTCTCTCCTAGGTATCCTCATGGGAGCTTTTATAAAAATCATAGAGGCTCAAAAGCTGGCCAACTGGAAGGTATAATTGAAGCAATTCGTTTTTAGTTGTAGAGCAGTCCTTAGTTGTTTAAAATAAGACTGTTTGTAATATTAGTTTCTTTTGATATAATTTCCAAAAACATATGTACTTTATACTGTATGCCAAAGTTTGGAGTTTTTTTAATAATAACGCAACAAGTATTTTAGGTCCTGATTCTGCTGAATCTTTTCTACATAATGTTTTTCCCCAATAATCCTTTGCATGGTACCAAACTTGATCCCATTAGATTTACGGTAGTGGAGGATACTGGGCATTTTGCATTGTGGGACCAGTTATAGTAAAAAATGCGGCATTTCAGTTCTTTGTTCTGTGTACTTCTTGACTATCTTAATGTATTTAGTGCTGCTCCGCCTTTTACAGTTATTTCTGTAGGTGTTTTCATTGAAAAAATGTGTTTTGATACAGTTGTAAATGCACATATTTTACCTGGGGATGTTAACAGAGGTTTCATAGAGGAAAAGAGGAACGCTTCTTCAGAATGGCTGTGCTAAAAATCAAAATTTTTTTTATTTACTTACTATTTTCAGCATGACTTTAAAACTATAACGTATTATAGTGCTATAAACGGATGCTTCACAAAGCAGTCCATGCAGCCTGGCATGCTTCTTGGGTGCTCGAGTTTCTTCTGTAAAGACTGCAGAAATGAGTGTGCTTGAAGCAGCCACTTTTTTCACTCTGGTTGAGATACTGACAGCATTACACAAGCTTTATATCCAGCAGAAAATAGAGGCAAAGTAGCTGTGCAGAAGGCTGTCCTTGTCTTGGTGCTCTGTGCTTTATAGACTTAGATATTAGGAAGAAAATGTTCACCGTGAGGGTAATCAAACACAGGAGCAGGTGCCCAAAGAGCTGGTGGAATCTCCATGCGTGAAGATATTCAAAAATTGAGCTTGGGCAACCTAAATTGCTTGGAGTTGTCCCCGCTTTGAGCAAGGAATTGGATTGGGACCTCCAGAGGTCCCTTCCGACCAGAATTACTCTGTGAAGCTGTGAGGTGTTATCCGTGCCTGCGTGGAGTTACAGAGGCTTCCCCAGGGAGGGAGAATCCTGGCAGAAATGTCTCCAAGAGGTGAACCCTACAGCGAAGCAAGGCTTTTGTCTTCTGCAGCTTTGTCCACGTCATCAAAGCAATGAGTGCTTCATTATTTCTGCTTTAATTTACGATAATGCAATATTTAAATTATTGTTTTATTTCATAGGATCAAACAGTTTTTTAGGATTAGATCAGTGAACTGGCTGAAATCACAGTGATTTAAATCACCAGTTTTAAACAAGATTTATATTAGCAAGCTGAAAAATCTCTGAGTAGTGCATTTTAATCCTAGCTTGCAGTTTACTTTTCCTTGGCAGTTATTTCCATAGAGGAAGTTGTTTGTTTTTTTTTTATTATTTGAAACACATTGAAGGGCACAGATTTTCCACAAAATGTAGCTTTTTAATTAAATTTGGTACTTCTTTTTTGTCAACTAATTCAGTGTGCATTCTTTTAAGCAATTGCATAGTTTGAGAGAAAAATTATGATGTTTAATTTGTCAACACATACTATTAAAGAGCAGAGGGTGGTGCCTGAGTTACTGCTAGATGATGTTTTTTCTTTCCTGACTTTTGTGGGCTGGATTTGGCTTAAAATTGAAAGTCAGTTAAAAATCCACAAAATTAGCATTCTGAAATAGCTTCTTACTGGTTAACTAAAATAATCTGAAGTGGATCAGGCTTGCAGGAATTAAAAAGAAAGTTTAAAATAGGCTTTGTACTGAGCAGTGATTCTGCGAACACAGGAAATACTGAGCTGCTGAATTGGCTAATTATTTCTGGTCAGAAGTGGTCAAACCTTGAGAGGCACTGGGTATGCTGCCTAGGCTTGACTCATATTATCAGCTAAGATAGTGTCCCAGATAAGACGTTCTTATTTGATTACTTAAGTTCCTCTTCCTATTAAAGCTTAGGCTGTTACAGTTTCAGATGTGAAAAGTTCTAATTAACAATGACTATTAGGTACTTTTGAAAATTAATTTTAAATCCTTTTAAAAATTTTTGAATTTACCAGAGAGTTTGTGTTTATCTGCCATACAAAAAAAATTAACTGTATATTTAACTGTATGTAACTGTAGGCTATGTTTATGTGAAAAGCAAAACTTAGACCAGATCCCTGCCCTAAGAACTCTGTAGTGTAATTTCTTGCAGTCGTGCTTTACTAAGTGATCAGTGGACCTTATGCTTGCTGCAGATTCTTGGTGGTTAACAGAGCTGACAATTAGTCTTTGTATTTTGCTTTCCTGGTCTTTACTTCAACGTAGCGTAAATTCACTCCTTCCTTTTCATGATTTCTCTTCTGCTTGTCCAAATCCTTGTTTTTTAAGGGCTTTTAAAACTGTATAAGCAATTAGAATGTGGTTTTTTTAGTCTAATGCAGTTGCTGAATTGACAGAAGCAGGGTAGCGTTAGCCATCCACGCACTGAACTGTGTATGCAGAGCAGTGGACTAGAGTGTGCTGCGGGGGAAAGCGTCTCAGTGTAAAGGATGAGTTTTATTTTCTAAGTCCCGAAAATCCTTTAAGATGATTATCGCTGTTGGAGATATGAATGAGACTTTAGAGAGATGAATGTTTTCTGTTTTGAAGGCGGATGATTTAGCAGAACAGTCAGTCAGCTGTTTAACCTTGATTTCAACCAATTAATTGTTGTTTATTAAGGTGACAAGTTGTGCTGTATTCAGCACTGTGTGGCCAAGAGGGAGCGTGGTTGGTAGGGAGGCACATTGAACCATGATGAATCTGCCTTCTGTGTTTAGTCTGCCAGCAAGAAAAAACGGTGCCAGTTTGATAGTATGACTTTACAAAACAGTTTAGCCAAGTGACGAAATAAACACTGGAGAATAAGATTGCAAAAAATAAAAATAAAAAAATGCAATCTTACTTTGCAGTAGGCTGCATTTATATCACTCTAATAGTAAAAAGCAACCATCAGAAGAATCAGATTAAATTACAGGCATTAATTGTATTTGCCAAGAAGAATCAAGCCTCTGAGTCCAAACAATATTATATATCTTGAGCCTGTTCACTTGCAAGTGTACTAAGATGGTGAGCTGATTTCTTGTGGTCCATTGATTAGCTTTCTAGTGAAACTGTACTTGACCACAGTTAGCCTAGATTATATTCAGATCAGTGGCCAGGAAGTCCAAATTCCTTGACCATCCTTATAGGTTTTGAGAGTGTGCAATAAAATGGAAATACTTTTTGTGAGAAATACTTTTCCTTTGTCAGAAAAAAATCTCTTTTCTGTTTTCGGCTTATTTGGGAACAGTAATTTAAAACAAGTAGCACTTGGTTTTCTATCACTCGATAAAAAAGGAATTTAAAAAATAGCCTTGAAGTAGTTTAATATTCTACAATCTTTTATTTTGTGGTAAAAAGTGAGAAATACTATTGTAATTTTCATTTTCCCATGTATTTTATTTTTTTAAAAAGTAATTTCCCCTTTGGAAGGTTTGATGTTGTTTCACTTATCATGATATCCTTGAAATTATACTTCATTTTTATTTTGCAGGAGGAAGAAATGTTTCGTCCAAATATGTTTTTTCTGCTTTTGCTTCCACCTATTATATTTGAATCTGGATATTCATTGCACAAGGTTAGCCCCTGCAATATGCTCGTTTTATGTGATGAGGTTTTGTTTGAAACAGATTCTGCTTTCAGTTGTTCTAATGGAATTTAGATAAATTGCACTGAATTCCACCATATTGTTAGTCATAGAATTGAAAATGAAATTTAGCCTCTTTAACCCCGCATGCAACAATGTAGCTTGTTACTGTTAACTGAGTGCTGGCAAGGTTGTAAGTACTGCAGCAGGGGTTATTTTCCGTGGTCCAAGAGGTGTGTCACCTCAGCAGAGCTGCACAAGGGATGATGTGAAGGAGGCAAAATGGGAAGGAGCAGGTGCGCACGTGGGAAAGGTGGGGTCAATCTGCCTCTAAAGAAGGGGCAAGTTGATAAGTTTACAAGGATTTTCTCTTTCTGCTTGAGAGGCTGTTAATCCATGGACGTTTCTTGCAATGATCGAGTTGGCTGAGGCAGTTTTGGTCCTCCCTGGATAAGGCCTTTTCATCTGAGCTGTGCTGGAGGAGAGGGAATGAGCGGTGGGAGGGAATCGTAGTGTAAATTGGTGTTGTCACTGAAGATTTTTGCTAATGAAATCTCAACCTAAGCATCCTGGTTGCTAGTCCATTTCTTACAAGCCTTTTTCCACATACCCTGTATGCAATAAATGGACTAATTTCCAGATCTCTCCGATGGGAAATATGTCCAAGTGCTTGTGAATATCCACCCTGTTTGCCTGAGGATTGGTTTGTTGTTAGGGTACCAAACTGAAATCCTGTCCTGGGTGCCACAGGGTTTTACTGCCACTTTTTGCTTGAGACCCACAATATGAGAAAGAATGGCCTGAGATGAAAACCAAAATATTTTTTATTTTTCCTTATACGCTGCTTCAGTGGCCGTATTTCCACTTCATACTTTTACTTTGGGCTTGGCTTAGCTAAAGAAAATCAGTTGTATTTTTGAGGGTACTAAGATACACTCTTTCCTTTAAAGAGGTTAAAGCCTTCATATAAGAAAACATTGCATTCAAACGCACATTTTTGGAATGAAAACAGAGTTGGATTTTTTGGTTGCAACATATGGGAGAGTACTTTCAAATTCTCAGGCTTAGAGCAGTACCTGAAATCTGAGTGAACTTTTGATTCCACGATTGTCATCAGCCAGAGCAGGTACTATCGCTATGTAAGAAATCTTAATAATCATAACTAACCTAAATGAGAATTAGATCCTATGTAAGCAGGTCAGGAAAGCGATTAGTTTAACCTGTTTTTAATTACTAGTTGAAAAATAAGCTATTTGTAATGAAGTAAAATCACAGATTGAAATTCTTGTAAAGTACAAACTGAAAAGTGTGTTAGTTTAGAACGTATTGCACATAAAGGATTCCTAGATTTTTAACCTTAAGAGGACAGAACAAAATAGCAGAAGGAAGAAGATTTTGAGCTAAAGCTGATTTTTAGAGGATCAAACTGGTAGGAAGAACAAGCTAGGCCTGCCAGCTTTGCTTTATTCACGTTTCAATCTTTCGCTGCTGTCCTCGAAAGAGCGGTCTCTTTAGGCAAATGGTATGGATATACGTATTGGGATACCTGGAACCAAACTAACGTGGTTTAATTGTCTCTGAAGAGCAGCTGTGGCTCAGAATCTAATTTAGATAGAACTGTACAGATGCAGAACCAAAACACGACTCCTCCACCAGTTCGTTTTTACTCATTGTCTTTATTATTGTATTCCAGGGTAATTTTTTTCAGAACATTGGTTCCATCACTCTCTTTTCTGTGTTTGGCACTGCAATATCAGCTTTCATTGTAGGTGGAGGAATTTACTTTTTGGGCCAGGTAAGAAAAACCTCTTTGCAGCGCATATGTATGTCCAACTTGTCCTTTGAGAGTCCAGGCAGAAAAACAGAGTGAAAGTGAGTTCCTGGGTCACCAAGTCCAGCTCTCTGCTATCATGGAGGCAATGTTATATAACCTCTCCATAGGTATATCGTGCTCCATATTAAAAGCAGTTAAGGCTTGAATACAGTTTGACATTTTTTACTTCCCTGATCTTTCAATTGGAAGGCTGTTCCAGAAGTTGACTTCTCTAAGGGTTAGAAGCCATATTCAAATTTGCAGTATTAAACTTACTTGTTCTTATGCCAACGGTTTTCTTTAGCATAAAAAAGTCTTATGCCAAAGTTTTCTTGGCGTTTCCTCTTTGATTAGTTCTAGACACAGATAATCATATCTTCTCTTAGACCTCGCTTTGTTAGGCTGAACAATCTGTGCTTTCCTACTTGCCTCTCCCACGTTTCCATTCCTTTGAATGCCTTAGTTACTCTACTCATCTGCATGTGTTCCATTTTCAGCTGGTCTTTCCTGAATCTGGTGACCAGAATTGTAACATATCACTGTTAGAGGGCAGTGTTAGATTGGGTATACTAAAGCTGTTATTATGATTTTTTTCATCATAATGGACTTAGATTTGGTGAATATTTTTTAAGAAATGGAAGAAACACATAGTTGATTGTAATTTATGTTTTGCCTTTTCTTTCAGGCTGATGTAATTTATAAACTCAACATGACAGACAGGTAAGCTCTTGGTGAAATGGTGCACTATATATCGAATGAAGGACTCATCGAGATAACGCTGTAGATGGGGTATGCACTGTAGCTGGCCAGTTGTTCTGGTTATTGTTTGAATTGCTTAAATTCAGTATAGTATATGAAACTATTAAATGGATCTAACATTTCTGAGCTCTATTATGACAGCCTTACTACCAAATAGTATTCTGTGCTAAGTGAGTTTTCCGGAACATAAGCATACTTGTTTTTTAACTAACCTTAAAGTTAAAATATGTAAACTTTATTTAATTGGGATTATTAAAATATATCGTAAAAGCACAACTTGTGTATCCAGAACTTCTCTTAAGAGACAGAATTAATTTTTCAGTATCAATAGTGTAAATTTTTCAAGAACTTTGCAAAGTATCTAATCAGTTTTTTAGAAGTACACCAATCTACAGTTAAATACACATTTTGTTCCTAGTACAATAAAAATTTGAGATTTTTATTTGTTTACTGTATAGCCAAGTACAGTGTTTTTCTGTTAAAATTCATAAATAATTTCAGTGACAAGCAAGAAACATGGTAAGTAAAATATGCATGAACAGGAAAAGTCTTTGTTACTTGGTTCCAGCATTTGACTTTATGCACCAGAACAGTCCCATTGCTTCTGTATTGGAGTCTATATCTTTGGATTCCAGAGTAATGAAATGTTAACCGTTCCATTTAGACAATAGGCTTTAATACTCCTGGACAGGTGACACTATGCATGTATGATACATGGTTGTTTTTTCTTATTTAGTTGTAGCAAGACATGGATACTGCTGTTGAGAGTTGGGAGATAAATATTTCTCAAACTTCTTTTCCACCTGGACAACAGCTTTTCTCTTTGATACATCAGTAAATTAAAAAAAAAATCCCATTTTTCACCTGAAGTTCTCATGAGTGGGAAGGGAACTTTCCGTTAATATGTATGGACTCTACAGCATACAACCTCTGTGTTACTAGTTGTTAATGTATATTTGTAAATTTATTATGTGCATGTTTTTCTGTACTCTAGTTTTCTGTTTTGTTTTGTGTTCTCCCAGTTTTGCATTTGGCTCTTTAATATCTGCAGTTGACCCGGTGGCTACTATTGCCATTTTCAATGCTCTCAATGTGGATCCGGTGCTTAACATGTTGGTTTTTGGAGAAAGCATTCTCAATGATGCAGTTTCTATCGTCTTGACTAAGTAAGTGCGTTTGACCTACACATGTTTATGAAACACTGCAATGACACTCTTTTCTGTTAATTAGAGTTATTCAAGTATACAATATTTCTTCCATGTCCAATTGCGACAAATCATGTGCTTCTGGCTTAAAGCTGAGTTTTGATACTGATCCTTCTTTGTTAAAAGCACTTCACTCTTTTCTGACATAAACTGCATAGGCAAAAGACAGTAAATGACTGTCTTTTTGCAGCTTCCTCAGTGCCTCATCTTATTGACCCCCAAATTGGAATTGGTTGCTTTGTAAGTCCGTAAGTTTATCAGCTGTCTTTCCATCTGAGTGTCCTGACAACTGAAATCCAAGAAGTTCCTTTCAATCTTGCAGAAAAATATTTTCCTAGCCAAATATGCAGCTGTAGATCCGGTATCATTGGCTTATACCTAGAATCAAGACTTCAGGTTTGGGGGATGCATTGACACTTATGCAGTAAGAACCTACTTAAATATTTATGTTGAGGCTACTGCAAGGAAGAAGAGCATCCAGTATCCTCATCCTTTACCCATTATACTTCTTTGAGACTGAAAGAGTGAAAAAATGCAGCCATATCTTCATGTTCTTACTGAAGTCAACAGATGTCACCATGAATGTTTACAAGGAGCAGAGCTGCTGAGTAGGAAGGTAGTAAAGTTAAAGTCATTTTTGAAGGAACTGTTTCTTAAGGAGTGCAATTGTAGGTCCTTTTACAGAAGACCGTGAAGGATTTCCTCTTTCCTCTTCAGATCATCTTTGGTTTTCTCCAGTGACCTTCCTCCCTCTTATCCACACCTAGGTATTTGAGGGGAGGTCTTCCTATTTGTTTGTCCTGTTAGGATCACATGATCTGTCTCTTTACTTTTTCTTGGGCTGACTTTTCACCACTGCAACATGTGCCTTCTTTTCCTCTTTGAAAGTTTGAAAATTGTTTTGAAATACTGGGCATTGTCATAGCCTATTTTCACCATTCTGAGGTTTCTTCAGAAGAGCAATGCTGGATTTCCAGATTTCGAGCAGAGTTAGGTTTCCCTTTGGGGACTACGCCAAGGCTTGACTAGCATCACCTGATATTCTTCTTGTTATATGTATCATAGTAGAAGCCTTTTAAGAGTGGCAGCAACAAAGAGAGGGAAGTCCTTTTTTTTTCCTCTCTCAAAAGGTATTTGGCTTATGTCCAGGCTTAGAATTTATAACTGTTCCTTTTTATTTATTTTTTAATCATTTCCAGCACAGCGGAAGGTTTGACAAGAGAAAATATGTCAGATGTAAGTGGATGGCAAACCTTTCTACAGGCACTGGGATATTTTCTTAAGATGTTCTTTGGCTCTGCAGCACTTGGCACACTTACTGGCCTTATTTCTGCATTAATATCCTTTTTTAATTTTGGTAATGTGGTACACATGTAAATTGGTGACCTCTAAAGTTCTAATATTATTTTTTGTTCCCATATTCTCCAGTGTTTCTTAGAGGTTATTTCTTATTAGAGCTCATTCTGTTGGCTGAGGATTTTCTCGTGCTCATTTTGTTTTCATGTTAGTGCACTTGGGTATATGAACATAATTAAAGTTTGAGATGCTGTGCAGTAGCTCATATTCCGTGTTACAAAATATGGTAATTGTTCTCTAAATTCACAATATGTTAATTTCGTTTCAATATTGATCCATTAGTGCAAGTGTAAGCTCTTCTTTCACATAAATAAAACTCTCTCTCTCCCCCCCAAAAAAGCTGTTTTTCCCCAGGGCTTTTGAGTCAAGCCTGCCCATATGTCCCTATGTATCATATTCGGCCAGCTGAATGTAGATACTACTGATCTGGGTTTATGTTGTGTTATATCTTTTTGCCTTTCCGCTTACATGAGTTGGTTGCTAAACAACTCAAAGCTTCTCTACTGAGATAAGGAGGGATGTTTGTTTAAGTCAAATACCTTTGTTACTTTTGAAAGCTTGCTTTAACGTTAACACAGAATTCACTGTAGGCAATTTTTTGTGCTAGGCTTATGCAACAGATATTCATGTGATGTGGAACATACTGTTAAGCACTTTGTAAATAAGAACAACAGAGTATTCAGTTAAATGCAGACGTGTTTACCCTCTTGGTTCTTTAGAATGATTCCTTGAACTTTTAAATTGTTCCGTATATCTCAATGAGAGAGTGAGAGAGTTTTTCAGCATTCTTTCGCTGATATCTAAGTGATATAAAGCCAAACAGAAAAGTAGTTTATTTGCCCTGATATATGATTGTTATTTGTGCCTCATAGTATTAGATTTACCATAAGCATGCAACATTTCGGTGAAGCAAAGGAAATCTATAATAGTTACCAGCAGATAAATATGTTTGAAGCTTGGTGGTTTGTGACCCAGGAGGAAAGTGGACTTTTGTGTCACTGCCATCTAGTCTTTGGAATTCTAACAAAGATGGCAGGTGAAGTATTTTGAGAGTTGAGACAAGGATGTGATTCAAAGAATGCGTGAATGCGTTTTGTCACTGTTAATATTATTGCAGATATGTCTTATCCATCTGAAAGTATCTGAAAGGGTAGTGACTGAAGAGAGGAGAATATTTACATGTTTAGTGTGGCAAATATTTACATCTGAGGCAAAGTCATCGTCTTGTATTTGGGAGCTGTGCTGCAATGCCGTGCATGAGATGCAAAGCAGTAGAATTTGCAAACCTTGACAAGTGTCCACACTTGTGAGTACAAACATAAACACGGTAAGTTTAGCTCAGCTCATCATAAATATCAAAAGGAAGTTACTTCTATTGAAACAGAGATGAGAGTTATCTCACTTTTAAGTTGCTGTTTCATAGCTCTCCCCTATTTTTAAAGAAGACTTTACTATGTAATGACTCTGTGGTTTCCCTGCAATAGTTTTGGTGCAATCAGTTCACTACTTTATGGGCGAGAATCCTTATCTGTTGGCCTGCTGTCATCAATGTTGTAGAGGTATGTCAGTATCAGAACTCTCTGTCTCGAGGTCTGTCCGTTCTGGTGGACTTCTACGAGCAGTAGCTTCTACCAAAAAGAAACATTCCTCATCAGAAATTATTAATCTTTCCACACTTGATTCATAGGTCAATTTGTAGACTTTTTCAGCTATTTGCTAGATAAGTACATTAAACATAATGACTGATTCATAATAGAATTGTATAGATTTAAATTTTTCTTGGGATGTTTTTCACTTATATTTTCCATAACGTTTTCATATGTACATGCTAAAGCACATTGATTTAAGGAAGACCCCCTCTCTGGAGTTTGGGATGATGATCATCTTTGCTTACCTTCCTTATGGACTTGCAGAAGGTATCTCACTCTCAGGTGAGTAGCAAAATGAATATGTGCAAGTTTCTTTGATAAACTTAAGGAGTAGGTCCTCTTGGTGTCTAAGAAGGCTCCTGGTTTTTTTTTTTTTTAATGTGTTTTCTCATTTAACCTGTGCCTTTACTTCTGACCTTGCCTCACTTCAGGGAAGCACTCATTCTCTTCTTAATGTTTGTGAAGATATAAATACAGAAAAGTTGATTGCAGTTTTCATAAGCATTAGATAGCCAAGATAAATAACAGTATTCTCCCCAGTTACCTCTGCCTCACATAGAAGAAGAATGGCAGCTGCACGCTGTAGGGCTTTGGCCACGTGTTGCCTAGCTTAGATAACAAACCAACCTACTCCCTAGTAGCCATTTTTGTGGCCGTTCTTCAGTGCCACTGGACAAGTTTCACTGAGACCACGAGGTTTTATAAATATCTCTATATACTAGGTAGAAGTTTTGCTGCAAGACCAGGAGAAGAGGCTTAGAGGTGAACTTTTTCAGTCATTCTGTAGAATCAAGTCCAAAGACAGGGTCTAGTTCTGCTGGATGCTCATCTCTGACCTCTGCTGATTTCAGTGGTTTTGGAAGACACTCAGCTTCCTATCTCATTTCATAGTTATTCTTAAAGGGAAATGGGAAAGGATGCAACAATTAGCATCATTTAAATAGCTCAGGCGTCTGTTTGGATCCAGTTTGAGAAGGTGAGTATTTTTTAGTGCGTTAAAAGATACATTTGTTCTACAAGTTTGTATAATAAGAATGTTACTGGTGTCTGAGAAGTAGTAGCAAGGGTAGATTTCTTGTAAATGATCTGCAGGTATGAAATGACACTTTCTAAAAGGTACATGTGCACTAACATGGATATTTTGGAATGGAATCTGTAGTAGTATATTTTAGCATACCTCCACTGAAGTGAGTAAAGTTGTATTTTTTTATATGTATGAAGATGTGGCCTGTAATCGTGTAAGTTACGCAGTCAAGATGTATAATGCTAGTGCAAACATTCCATTCTGCCCACCTGCATCCAAAACTATTCTTTCCGTGTGTGTAGGCCAACACATATATAGGGTAATGGAAGTTATCTGAAACTTGAGCAAGCAGCCTGGTGTGTTTTAATATTTGTGTTGTCGTAAAAACAAGTTTTGCCTTTATGAAGATTATACTGGAATTGTCAGCCTATTACATGAATGCCTTAGAACATGGCCTTTTTATTTCTAGTATATATTGCTTATGCATCTAAAAATGATAATAAAGTACTACAGAATTACAGTAATATTACATTATACAACCAACATACTTGTATTTGGTTCATGACCAACAAGAATTTATGGTGAGATTCCTAGTTAGTTACTCTTAGCATGTTAGGGGTCCTTTATTTTTTTATTTGTAAAGACAGGTTCTTTGATTTACTCAAATGCCTTCAAGAATGAGTTCTCAAGAATACAGATTTTAAATGACCTTAGTCAGATCACCTCTCTGTTTCAGACAAAGGATTCTTTTGACTGTACCTCAGTTGTTTATTCTAATCCTTCCAGTCGAGTTCATCCGGGCCGCTCCTGGGCATGTAGCTCTAGCCAAACTCTTCTAGGCTTTCAGACTTCCTTTGTTTTGGACTAAGCAGGCACACTCCCAAATGTCATCTAGTCCTCTCCATGATCTGCACTGCAGTTGATTTCCTCTGGGCTATATTGTTGCTTTTGTTCAGTTATTTCCTAAATTCCTCACAGGGAATGGTGTAGTTTTTTTTCCAAGTGCACTGTTTAATTCTCCCACAGTCCTAACCATCAACTCACATGACAGCCTTCTCAGCTGTAAGTCTGTGCAGCAGCCTTGGAAATGTTTAAAATTTCCTTTAAGATATCCATTTAAAATTTCCTTTAAAATGTCCAGGTCCTTATGAACACCGACTGATTGGCAGTGAGCTTCTGTGATGTGTCTTGGAGGGTGAGAGAAATAGGTTAGAATTCAGATTCATCCTATAAATGTACAAGAAGTAAGAATCCAAGGTAGATGGAAAAATTTCTAACTCAAATCAAAGATACAAGAATATAGCGAACTTGTATTTGGTTCATGACCAACAAGAATTTATGGTGAGATTCCATAGTTAGTTGCTCTTAGCATGTTAGGGGTCCTTTATCTTTTTATTTGTAAAGACAGGTTCTTTAATTTACTCAAATGCCTTCAAGAATGAGTTCTCAAGAATACAGATTTTAAATGACCTTAGTCAGATCACCTCTCCGTTAACTGTGTCCTGCTAACTGTGTCCAAGCTGTGCATGTTGTTAGGGCACCAAACTCTGTAATGGTAAATTTAGTGGCTTTTTTCATAGTTGACGGCTGAGACTAATCTTTGTAATAACCTATCCTAGTGCTGGATGTAAGGAGCACATCCTGCATAGTAGCTTTGCTTACAAGCCATACGTATTGGGCTGTCCCTCCCTACCAAGGTAATTTTGGCCCTGAACTCTCAAGTCTCAGTAGCTTTTCTGATTCTCTGATTGATAGCAAATTGGGGTACCCCTCCATATGCTGTTCTTTCTTCGTTTTTTACAGTATTAGAGCTGATGCACCATACTTCAGTGGATTCCCACTGATGCCCTGCTGGTTTTATTCCACTCCTGATGGAGTGGTTGGGCCTGGTTGATCAGCAGGTCCCACTGACACTTTATTGGAGAACTAAATGATATAGTTTTCTAGCCCTGTTATTCTCAGATTGGTTCTACTCCTCTCTTGATCTCACCTCTTTATCGTATTAGGAGAATGAAAGGCAGAAAAATGCACGCAAGATTTCAGATTATTTCCCTCACTCTTATGGGAAAACCTGAGGTAACAGGGATTTATTGTAGCTTGCACGTGATCTGTGTTGGACCTCCTAGTATTTGCATGACTGATGGAATGAGACCGATGTGAATAACAGCGGTAATAGAAACCTCACTCATCTCTTCATAAACTTTTGTGTTGGTAAAGGTTATAGACACAAATAATGTTTACAGAGTACAAAGTATTCTTTTGTTGATTGCCACATTGTATCTACAGGTATCATGGCAATCCTCTTCTCTGGCATTGTGATGTCTCACTATACACATCATAATCTGTCCCCAGTCACACAGATTTTAATGCAGCAGACACTGAGAACCGTTGCTTTTATGTGTGGTAAGTGCTATGTTTAGTATATGTCTAATATTGACAGTTTAGAAATCAGTTTGCGTGAAATGGTGATTCCGGTGGGAGCAAGAAAGGTGGATTTTCCTCTAGCAATTTGTTTGTCAGTGGTACATGTCTTTAACAGAAGACTACCTAGTAATGGAGGCTGGAAGGCTGTCAAAAGTCACCTTTCAAAACATACAGTAAATCTGCTCCTTCTCCCATCCTGCAGGCTGCTGCTAAGATTTGTCGCAAGATTGATAACCAAATAGATTTATCTGACTCCTTTCTCCCTCAAGCCTATTTTTAGTTGTAGGAGATGGAATATAGCTGTATTTTTAACTGATTTGGGATATTAAAAAACAACTTGCAAAAACAATAGCTTCACAAATTGAGAAGAAACTTTTGGAAGTAGTGATACAAGCAGCTCAGAGCCACATAGACTTTCTATTTCCTTTTATGAGCCAAACTTTGAAAGAAAAGACATGAGTGTGTATTACAAATATATATCCCCATATATGCCATATATATGCCATATATGGCATAAAAGTGTCCCATGCTTTTTGCAAAAAGTTGCTTGCATTTGAAGTGTAGACAAGAAGTAGCACTGCTGCAAACTAAATTTAACCACGTGTCTGAGCACCAGTAGCTCATCAGCTTTTTACTCTTGTGTTACAAATACTAAAAAAGACATGTTCATTCAAGTCACTGTAAAGGAGATACTGCATAATTTTTTTAAATATTCACAGCAGGCTTTGAACATATAAATGTAAGTAACGGGGACCCAAAGCATGAGCAGTAAAGTGATAAGCTGGAGTAATTCAGTTACTTGCTACCGTCTGTCCAAAACCTTCCTATCTGTAATTGCCTTTATAGTAAGGATTCTAGCTTCCTAGGACAGCTACTGGTGTAGTGGTCTTGTGAAACATCATCACTGTGAGAGTCTCTAATGGTAGCAGGTTGGTACTTAGGAGATGAAATGTTTAGATTACTGGAGCAATTGCTCATTGGTGGCCCTAGTGTGGATGTGCAGACATCGCTCACAGGGTTTATTAAAACATACGAGGGTTGGTAGGTCATACAGTGCAGTATTTTATTACAGAGAAAGTTATAAAGTGCTGCAGTTTATAAGAAGTGAATGTGTTTTCACACTGGATGCTATCTAATAGTGCTCAACTTGTAATATATGAGATTGTGCACAACATTTCAGTTTTCAGTACTTTTGAATCAGATTCTATGCAAGTGATTAGTAGCCAGTCCTTTAGCTTAAGTGTGTTCTGCAGCTTGTCCTCTATTCTTCAAGCAAGCAAAACATCCTCTGTCTTTAGAACAAGATTTTGCTGGCTTTGCTCATACTCATTAGAAATTTACAACTGAAAAACAGCCTGCGCACAGGCTAAGGTGCTGACAGTGAGAGTGGGAGAATCTGGCCTTTTGCAAAATGCCACTTGTGCTTATTTTGTGCATCCAAAAATGAGGAAATGTATATTTTATGTGGCATATGTAGTAATTTATTATAGGAGTAGAAATGGTTTTACAGAATTGCTTATTTAAAATGTTTTCTCTTTTTCAGAAACGTGTGTTTTTGCTTTTCTTGGCCTGTCAATTTTTAGTTTTCCTCACAAGTTTGAAATGTCCTTTGTCATCTGGTGCATAGTAGGTATCTAGTTCCTTCCAAACTTGTTTAGATACCTTTGGGGTATTCATGGGGTAAAAAATCCTCACACTTAAAATGTTTCAGAATATTTGTTGTGTTTTATAGAGTTTTATGAAAATACTTCTATATTGCTATGAAAAATACTGAATCTTTTTATATATTGCACATAATTAATTCTCACTAATTGCATGAAGTTATTATTTTATTGTTATTCTCAGCACTTTGGTGTACATACACAGCAGCATTCTCTAAGGAATTCCAATGTGCTGTTGTTTTGAAACCCATGTGTATAAGATTGCTAAAAATAAGGAAAAGAGCCGTATTTATTTTAACCTTATTTAATTTATTAGAATAAGAAATCTCAACAGATATTAGGATTATTGCAAAAACGCTTTATTCCAGAAATTATTTTTCTGGAAAAAAATCTTGAGTTTTTACATATCTTTAGCTTCATATGAATGATTTGCATAAATGGGCAGTTTGTAGAAAGTACAGTCCAAACTCATGTCAAGCTCTGCTTCATCACTTCCAGCACTACAGTTTTGAGTCTTTCTTTCTCATGTAAGTTTACAGTTTGTTCATATAAATAATGTAAATAAATTTAGTGCATGCATGACTTCTTCGCTTTCAGCTCACCTTTTACAGAGATAGGCCTTACTCTTGCTTCCTTCATTCTGTCTTGATGGCATTTATTTCGATGTATCTTTTTGTAATGACACTTTGGATTGTTTCACATGGGATTTACCTATTTCTATTGCAATTATATTAATTTAAAGACGAAAAGTATGTCACCTTTTGCAGCGCGAAAATAGTGAAATGTAAATCCACTTCAAGTCACATACAGGAACTTATACTTGGCACATTTTAGTCCATGGTTCAAGAGAAGAATTGTTCTCTACCGTTCACAGATTAGTGGTATCAACATTGCGTTACACATGTATTACACATCTCTACCCAACTTCCTTATTTAACGTATAGCTAAGGTGTAACACTTCCTCCTAGGTAGCATTGCTCTCACAGCTGTAATGCAAATTGAATAATTTTGGGGTGATTCATAAAGGAAAACAATGCAGCCCTACAAGGATCCTGCTAACTAATTCTGAGGTATTTACCTTTTCAAAGGCCTGTTTGTGGTAGAGTTTATAAAGCGATGTAATTGTGAGGAACTTTGCCTTCCTGGGTTAGTTTTCACTGTACTTCTTAACTGGCTGCCGAGAGATCAGTAATTCGCTCTCCACCCCCCGCCAGTGGATGTATTGGTGTATTTTATAACCGTGCCCAGGGAAGTCTGAAGGACTGAATTACGTGCTCTTTGTTTGGCTTCTGGCTGTCGTCTTTGAGGGACTGGTCCGTAGGGAGACAATACAAATGCCTTCTTGCCTCTTGGCCACTGTGCCAAGGGAATGATTAAAGGAGCTGAACTGACTGAACTGTGTAAAACTTGCACCAAAAGTAGTTCTTTGTCTCCCTAGAACGTGTCTTGGGTTTTGTTTACTGGTTGTAAGTAAAACAGTGTCTGGTCTCTGTCAGTTACAAGTCTGGTATAATTTCAGTTAAGCAGATTAAATGGTTAAAACATTAAATTCCACATTGACCTAAACTGAGAGATTTTTTAATGTTGATTTAGCAGCATGCCTTGTACGAGGCTGGTGTATGATAAGAGTGTATTCACCTTACTCTGCACAAGCCAGATGCAGCTGGGGCCTGCATGAATGTAACGTATCAAATAGTCTTTTTCTTTGATTTTTGTTTTTCAGGTACTTGTTCTGTTTGGTAGAGCAGTGAATATTTTCCCACTTTCCTACCTACTCAACTTCTTCCGTGATCATAAAATCACCCCCAAGATGATGTTTATTATGTGGTTTAGTGGTAAGTAAGTTAAAGCTCAAAGTATGGAGGGCTGTTAAAATGTTTCATCTTTTTCATTATGTGGGCTACACTGAGAGGAAACGGTTTTCCATCTGTGCAGCAAAACTCAGCGGAACATTTGCACCATTTTCGAATCCAAATACAGTAGATAGATGTTCTTTCCCCCTTGTGCCAGAGGATGGTGATGCATAGATTCCAACTACAGCTTTTCTGCAAAGAAGCTAATTTCTTTCTAGCTCTAACAACGTTATAGCTTGAAAAGCATAATAGCTGAAGAGCTCTGATTCATTTTAGGGTGGTAACCAAATGCTAGAAAAATGGCACAGTGTAGGTCTGTAAATATCTTTAAAGTTAGAGGACTCCCGATGAGGTAACTGGGTGCTGAGGACCAATGTTAGTGTTGATTTGCTCTTCGTTGATTTGTTATTCTCTCTGATAAGGTTTACGTGGCGCAATTCCCTATGCTCTCAGCCTCCATTTGGGCTTGGAACCAATAGAGAAGAGGCAGCTCATTGGGACTACAACAATCATCATTGTGTTGTTCACAATTTTGCTGCTGGGAGGAGGAACCATGCCCCTTATCAGACTGATTGACATTGAGGACTCCAAAGCACGCAGGAGGAACAAGAAGGACATTAATCTTAGCAAGACAGAGAAGATGGTTTGTTTCTCTTTTATTCAGTGAACTATTGCTGTTACTTCTTTACCTTTTCAAAGAAAAGGCCAGTACATAGTAGAAATTTTTACTAAAAAATAAAGTAAAAATAGTAGAAGCATGGTAGGAGAAAACCAAGCAACGTCATTTTAAAAAAAAAAATTGTTAAGACAGAGCTCGGTTAGTATTTACACAAGTAAGTCTGGGACTCTAACTCAATTTATAAATTGGTCAGTAGAAATTAAGGTAACCCCTGCAAAAGCATGGAGTAGATGATACAGGGTAGGTTGAATCATATATAGAGAGAATGTAGCTAGTAAATTGTGAGTCATGCATTAATCATAAAAGGCAGAGAGGAATTATTTTGAAAAAGGTCAAAGCAAAGGCCATGAGAAGGTTGTAACAGCATCCCTCTGAGTGGGGTTTATTTTAAAGCAGTTCTTGGCTAAGCAGAAGTACTGCAGAAAACTAACGGCCAGTCTGAAACCTCACGTGCTAAAGGCAGGAGTGCAAGAAGCCCCGAGCTTTTGTCTGCTTTTCCCCAAGCTCTCAAAGAATACATGCAGGGTCTTGTTCTACAGGATGTGAAGAACAGCTGTTTTGGCATGAAGTTTCAGGAGCTTTGCAGTGTTTGGAATTAACTTGTGCCTGCTGTTCATGTAGGGAAGTGTGCGTAGAAAGGTCACAGTGACAAGCACGTTCTGATACAGGGCTTGCTTTCAGTGTGAGAGTCAGCAGTCACCTGGACAATGGCATTGAAGTGTTGTTGCTTGCTGGGTAAACTCATTGTTCAACTCACAAGAGAAAACCTATGCGCTAGAAATTTCTGCCGTCTGAAATGGAAACAGTACAAAATAAGGTAAACAGGCTTCAAATGTTCCTTTCAACATGGAAAGGGAAGTGGCTCTGGGAACCAACAAATGGAAAGATTCATACAGCCATAAGCCTTGATAGGCTGAGGTGATAATTTCCATTTTGTTCCAGCATGGGAGTTGTTTGTGAGAAGGGAGAGAGCAGCATGGGCTGAAGCAAACTGGAAGGAACAACTGCCATATTTCTAGAAGTTATTCCAATATTTTGTGTTTTTTCTAGGGGAATACTATAGAATCTGAACATTTGTCAGAACTCACAGAGGAGGAGTATGAAGCCCAGTACATAAAACGCCAGGACCTCAAAGGGTTTATGTGGTTTGATGCTAAGTATTTGAATCCTTTCTTCACCAGACGACTGACACAAGAAGTAAGTGTTGCTTCTTTTCTTGAAGAGAAGAAACAGTGTGGTGGAGTTCACTGTCATTTCACTCCGTACCATTCAAGGCTCGTAATGCAGCTATGCAACTTCTACATTAGGAACAGTGAGACATATCGTATATTACTTGTTCATATGTAGAGCAGCTGTAGTGAAAAGCTGCACTGTAAAATTGCAGTTTGAATTAAATGAGCATCTTTCAGGGCCACCGCAATTAAACTTTAAAGCGTATATGGCTTTACTGAACTCGGCTTTCATCTTACAGACTACTGTGACCATATCAAGAGTTTGGCAGCTGAATCTAAAATTGTGCCTAATAGAGCTTCCAAAGCTAAACTTACTAGAAAAAGCTGCCACCATTCATGTACTTTTTAAAGTGCTGTCACACAAATTGTTGCTCCCTTTTGCTGTACAAGGTCCTGTGAATTCTTGAGCTGTGATTTTTCTGCAGTGTGCACCTTTTAGCTTGGAATTTTGCACTGGGATTGCAACCTTCACTTTCTAGACTTCCTCGCTGGGAGACAGATTTCGAAGCTGTGATACAAAGTGACACGTGGGGGAACGTGGAGAAGACTTAACCTGAGGGGTTGAGAGGTGTAAATGTGCTGTGCTGTTTTCAATCTAAGCCTTTAGAAGCCTGAGATTCCTTAGCCACAGAATTCACTGTTTTCCCAGTTCGCCAGGAAATCCAGCATTTCTGCTGTGGAATCGATCAGTTTGTGTAAAATATGCTCGTTCCGTCTTCCTAGCCTGCTCAAACATACTTCTTTCCAAAAGAAAGATAGAACATGCTTTCAGCACTTTCACACAAAAGCCAAAAGGATTTTTTGCAAAGCCAAAAAGGAACCAAGAAACCAGAGCAAGCATCAGATTCATACTTGGTAGTCAAAAACACAGGCTGCCATCCAGATTGCAACCAAAGGCTAGAAATATAAATATGTAACTCACCAGAGTAGGCCACAAGTTTCCCGCTGTCTCCAGGGTCACATGGGGTGAGATTCAAAGATAGGCCATCCGGACAATATTGCGATTGTTGAAACTCACAGAGCATGGCTGTCTAGAAAACAAGTAAAAATATCTGCCATCAAAAATATCACATCTGGAAATAAGTACTAATGGACTGAGCATCGATAAATATTTCCTGGTAAGAACCAGAATGTTTTGCACGTCCAGGAGCAGATTGTTTCTTGAGACATGTGCTAAACTAGTCTCTCTCATTCCCTCTGACACACAAATGGTGTGGTAGCTAAATAACACGTGTTCTGGTTTTCTTTTGCCTTAGGACTTGCATCATGGCCGCATACAGATGAAAACCCTCACAAATAAATGGTATGAAGAGGTACGACAAGGACCCTCAGGCTCTGAAGATGATGAGCAAGAGCTGTTATAGCAAACTGGGGAAGGAGTACGAGTTTGTCATTAGAGCATCAACAGCTAGATTTAAGTAACAAGAATCTGACTGCACAAAAGCTCAAGAATTCAGAATGAACCTTCTGATTTCAAACTTGTGCTGTTTAGATATCAAAAAGATCTACTGTTCTTGATTTTACTAGTGAGTGAGAGAACCTCTTAACACTGTCAGAAGCTGGACACCAGAATTTTTCAGATTTTACAGCATAGTAAATGTCTTGCAGCCTATTAAGATGCAGAAACATCTACCTTGAACTAAAGATGTTGTTTAATGTGGGGTCTTCCTATTATGAAATGGGCTGTAAATGCATGCTGAAGTTCAGAGTTCATTGTATGACTCTGCAAAACACGATGAATTGCACTTTACCTTTTTTTAATACTCATTCACAGCATGGAGAGGCTTGATGGCTTATACTGTGAATTTGTTTCAGCACTAGTAAGGGAATCTGTGAGGAATAAATTTATAATTTATGGGTTTTGCACGTTACAAATGCAGAGCAGATATTGAGTACCTTGACAAAAGCAGATGCGGCATGTATAAGGAAGCACCTCTTGAAACTGATTGTTTTGGAATTTAAAAACTCCTGCATTTCTGTTTTGTGGTTTTTGTTTTTTTTACACTGAAGTAGTATAATCCACAGTACTAATTGTGGCATGATTTATTGGGAGAGGGTATTATATGACACAGTAGAGAACTGCTTTTGAAATAACTTTTTTAAACACTTTTTTTTTTTTTTTGTTAAAACCAGTTGCATTTAGGTTTCTATGATAAGTGGTTGCTCCTTGTTAGCACTTTGGCTTCAAGTCTTAGGAAGCAGCAGCTTTTATATATAAATTCATGAAACATCCCTAACATTCTCAAGAAAGCACAAACAGAATTTTGGAGTTGTAATGGAAGCAAAAGCACTGTTTTCCACGTCACTATTTTGAGGAACTGCATGTGTGCATGGGGAAGGGGAGTCTACAAAATCTAATCGAGGTATAGAAGAGTTTAATATTGCACATTGCTGAAGCATCCTCAGTTGGGAAGTGCCAAACAGTTTTCATTAAGTTGTCCTGCTAGTTTGATTTTTCTCTACTGCTGCTTCAAAATCAGCAGCACTTCACTTTTTCTGTGTGGCATGGTCCGTTTGTTCAAAACTGCATACACCTGAACAGACACATTTATTATAAATTTGCCACGGTTACACATGCAGGAGTTTTCTCACACTGCCAGTCCTATTTGTCTCATTAGTGTATTCATTGTCAAAATTTGAAACTGCAGTTCTGAGTGTACATCAGGCATGCATGTGTACATATCTCTTTCTGAAAGTAATATATTTGGTTTGGTTTTGTTACCGGAGTTTTTAAATCAACTGCTTACCTTTTGGGAGAAATAAAAGGTTCAAGAATGTATTTAGAAACGCAAGTCGGTGTTTTCTGAGCAGTTTTTCAAAACAGTACATCTCATTACAGGACTCCACTCTTCCCCCGTTTTTTCCTGGTAGTTCAAAGAACTTACTCTCTCCTAATCAACCATGAAACTCATTTCCTTCCTCTGTTTGCAAATAGCATGGCATCTCACAGAGCTGAAACAGGCACTGGTGGCAGCCTGGATGAGGCACGAACTCAGATGGTTTCTGGTGCTGACCAGCCAGAAAAGAATCAATACTTGTTTTTTCCTTAGGAAAGAGAATATATATAAAAATCACACAGACTTTCTTCACCCTTGGCAACTGTAATTTCATTACATTTGTTACCCCCATCAGTCCTACTTGGTTTCTTGATTTGAATATTTAAGACACACAAATCCAGATTATAGTACTATGGAGGATGTGTACGTGAGTATTCTGCGTTATAATAATGTTTGTTCAGTGCAAGCAAAGGTGGTTTTTTTTAAACAGAATGATAAATTTCACCCAGTGAGAACCAGTCTATGCTGTCAAGGCCAACAGAGTCTGAGGCTGCTAACTCTGGAGTTTGTTTTCGCCGATGTTTATGCTATTCATCTGCAAGAGACAAGTAGGCATTGTCCAGCTTTCCTTTCCTTGCCTTATACCACAAGTGCAGGCCAGAGCAAGGATGCTCTGTAGACTGTGCTGCCAGTGGTGTCAGAGACTGACCCTGGTTCGATATTTTTCCTGTCCAGTCCAGGAGCTGGTTGAAGTGGGGAAGGTTCCTAGGAGCTTCTTGGTCACCAAAACATCCATGTACATTGGTCGAGTGGTCTAGATGCTATTACAGTGGCTTCAGTGGTATGCAAGACACATGCTGAAATACAAAACAGCCACTAACTTATATTGTTATTCTGGTGAAAGATGTCATCTGCCATCTGAGTGAAAGATCTGTGCTGATGATCAGGCACAGGCTACCTTCCTTCAGGACAAATTGATCGTTTTCTGCCCTCTGCTGGCAATTTGGGAAAATACATTGACATCTAATTTGAGAGTCATTTGCTGAGAAATTTTTTTTACGTTAAATTGCAGCAATTAACTGATACAGCTAGAATTAATGAAATCACTTTGAAGCAATTAAGTTGAAGTCGGATTGTTTTATTTAAAAAGCAACTATACTAAAAATGTTTAACATTTATTAAATTTATTTATTTATTTATTAATAATTAAAACTTGGAAATAAGACTTATTAGTTGTGTCTCAATAAAATATGCAGTTATTAGGATATTTTGTAATCCGTAGAAGACGTTTATACCATAATGTAGGTGACTAGTTTTTTACATTAACTTATGAATACCTTGACTGTATGACAGTCATTTCTATTTTGTATTTCTTCACTTAAATTTTCTTTTCTAAGCATACTACTTCATCTTTCCTCTTATTGAATTGCCTTGCAGTTACTTTAAAATTATTTTGATAAAATAGAAAATGATCTAAATTCTAATCCTCCCTGCACAAGCACTAGCAGCCCTGTCCTAGCTTGGTGTCATCTGCAAGTTTGTGCAAGCGTAAACTTGGCTTTTCTGCTTTCTTAAATACAGGACCACCAGGAAACAAAATGCAGATGTTATTAATCGTGGAGGCCCTGAAGTTCTGCCAGACTGCAAATCGGGTGGCTGTTTCTCTTGACAACTAAGGAGCCATGCAGAGGGGAGATGGAGGGAACCTGGAATACAGCTTCTGGCAACTCAAAACCTCCCAGAAATGATTTTTCAACCTTTTCTGGCCTGTCCCACAGTCCCGTGTTAGCCTGTGACAAGGTGCCATGGCTGCTGATGGCAAGGTCTGCCACCCATGGGGAGATGAGCAGCTGCACCCCAAAGCTCCTGCTCTGCCTGGCAGGGTGAACACCAACCCCGTTTTGATGCCACTGATGTGGCCGTGGGTACGCTGTTAGTGTGGGGCACGAAGGGAATCACCCAAACCCACTCCTGGGGAGCTGGCACAGGGCAGACAACCAGCTGCCGTTGCCCAGAGCTCAGTAGCCCTGCCTTTAAAAGGTGCTAAAAGAGGAGAGAAAAAATTGTTTTCAGCGCTGGTGCTCTTCCCATTAGATAGGCAGCGCATGGCTGGGGCAAAGCCCCCCAGGGACAGCTCCGAGACAGCCCCAGGGCACAGCCAGCCCACATAGTGATGGCTGCGGGAGCATGTTTTCCGTGCCCCTGGGCTGTGCCCAGAGGTGATCCCTGCACGAGGAGGGAGGAGACCCAGCCACCAAGGCGCCCAGCTGCTGCACAGCCTGTTTCACTCAGCGAGCGCCGTCAGGGAGGAGGTGCTAAACCTTGCAGAGGGTTGTCCAGGCCGGTGCTAGCTTTCAGCAGATTCACCTGTGGCTTCACTGCGCTGCTATAAAGGACAGCAAGCCAGCTCCATGGGGACTCCCCTACCAGCTCACAGGCCCAGTTTCCTCACCTGTCAAACTCCACCTCACAAAGCCGGCAAGAGGCCCTCCGGGCTATTTCATTCTTGGGACTACTTAAACTATGATCACTCTGGCCAGCCTGACAGCTACCAGGCAGGAAGGAAAGTAGGTAGAAATGGGATGCCTCTGTCTACCCCCACTCCTTTTCCTCTTCCATCTGGATGGCAGCAATGAGCTGAGCTAGCCAGGCACAGAGGAGCATCTCAGCCTGACCCACAACACTGCCTGAGACACTTTGAGGCCCTCTGGCCTCTGCAGAAGAGGCTGGACCTGCTGCAAGGAGGGTCCCTGCATCCAGGCCCCAACACACAGCGTAGCAAGTGCCTGGCTGCCTCCGAAGACTGTCTGGGGGGCTGAGCCATGCTGCTCCCAGCCTGGCTGGTATTGAGCTCTCCAGCAGGGCGCCAAGGCCCTCTGCTGCCTGCGGCTTGGCAGGACAACCAGCGAGGCTCTCCCGCACCGGCGCTGGCAGGTTTGCACCCCTTTTGCAGGGAACTGTCCCCCTGCACATACACAGTGCCCATGGATACCCTCCAGCACCAAGTGCCACCAGGGCTTGGGGCAACACACATACCACCACTTTCATGCAGAGCTGCATCTAATGGATGTCTCAGATGTTATACGGTGACCAGCCAATGTTGAAGCCAGTTTTATGGGTCTCACCTATAAAATTCAGTAGAGCATGTGGTGGGGCTCCATATGCTTCGCTGCCAGGTAGAAAAGCTGCCACAGGATAAGGCTTGGCACTGCTGAGGAAGGCAGGGAACAAAATTTCCCTCCATCCTGAAGGAAGCAGAGATAGATGAAGATCAGACACAGATCATACCAGTCACAGGCTGGAACAAGTATTATCATTCTTAATTTCCCATGGAGTAATGTGCTAATATGAATAAGGGCAACTAACATCCTGAGGTGCTGCATGACAGTGATGAAGCTACTAGTACTACAGTATCTGGTTTACATACAATAAACAGGCAAAACTCTTCAGAAATCAATCTGGGTAAAATCCACTACTTGAGTCAAATCACTGCTCCTAACTGCCCCAAACCGAGACTCTGGCCCCAAGTGTGTCCTCAGCTCTGCTAGTGACTCATCAGCTGAAAGTGAACACCTCCAGCTTTTTCTACCTTGGTTTAATCATAACAAAGATGTTATTTTTTTAACTCAAAACTATACCAAGAGATACTAATTTATTTTAGACTTTAAAGCACCTACACATTGTTTCTACAGCCTGATCTGAAGGATGCCATAAAAGGGAAGAGAACAGTGATAATTATCTGCAGTTCAGGAGCTTAACCAATAGAAAAAAGAATTGGGCTTTAAGCTATACTTGCTAAGTGCCCTTAACCTTTTCTTTTCTAAGAATTTGTGAGATTACCCACCTGAGATAGGAGGTTTCCACGAGTGGGCCAGGGTTTAAAAGCCACCAACACTAAGGTTGCTGGTTGCCCCGACCTTCAAGAGGAACGAACCATGGATGATGACACAGTAATGCGTTGCTGGAGATGAGCGTAGGCAGACTCTCCTTCCCAGTTACTTTACCGATGATGAGGACTATCCCTGAAGCCTGGCTGAAGGCCAGCAGGGGGCAACACATGGTGCAGCCTTTGCAGGCATCTACATGACTTCTTACATAAACTTATAAATACTGCAGTGCTTTTGTAGGAAAGAGCGTAGCAACTTCATTGCCTATATTAAGTGGTAGAGAACACCAGGGGAGCAAGTACAAGCGCTAACTGTGCAAGAGGGGGATGTGTGCAGCCAGCTTTGCACGACTGCTTCTTCAAGAGGTAGAAAGCAACTGGATCCTAGGGATCGCTGGCCATTTTTGGAATAGCAGCATGGGCTGAGGGTGGCTTTAATTTGAATGGATAGGTCTTCGTCATCAGTTCCCACTTGAAGTTCAAACAGTAGTTGGATACACTTCCATGGGAACTGCCAAAAACCTGGAGTTGTTAGGGAGCAGTTTAGCCCAGCAGCTGAGGGCTGTGCTTGGAAACGTGCCGATTGGACCACAGGTCATCAGTTGCTGAGATGTTCAAAAAAGTAACTCAAGATGGGGGAGCTAGTTCCTGCACCAGAAGGGCTTCCTTTATAAGCCAGTTGCAGTCACTAGAAGTTGAAAAGAAGAAAGGAACTGGAAAAAGAGCAGGAGTGTCAGTACTGTATGAATAAGGTTTAAAAAAAAGAAAAAAGAAAATTGAGGTCCTACCTGCTTGCTGTGCTCAGGGGTCCCCAAGCACTCTGTCCTGGTTCAGTGCCAGCAGGGTGAGGGCTGCACTCCTAGACCCCCCCGGCGTCCCTGGGGTGCAGGTGTCCCCAGCGTTATTCCTCACTTTGTGCCCTAAGTTACGGGGGGAGTCATGTCAGCACGGTTCACTGAAAGGCAAAGTGGTTCTCACTTGCCATTTGCAAAGCAGGACAAAGTCTTTCTGAATGGAAATCTCAACAGCAACACGAGATTGTCACCACTTGGTAGCTACCCTGTCTTGATATTGATCCAAGTTCTTGCTTGCCCCCACAAAGAGCTGTTATGACTCCACTTTGTATCACACCCCTGGAATGGTGAGTACTGGAGAAAGGTATCATCTGATGGCTCTACCAAGTCTAGCTGCAATCCACTTTGTGCTAGTTTTGGAAGTTACTGCAGCAGGTCAGGTAGCTAGCAGGAGTATTTTCAAGGACTGCATGTTTTAAGTGCGTATTGCAGACCAGGCATACAAAATAAATTTCAGATTCATCTTTGCACACATGCCACAAGTTAGTTTCCCCAGGGAAGGAAAAGAAAACCACTATAAGGCCATGTATGTCCCTTCATTGCTCCGCAAATCATACATCAGGGAAAGAAGCCCGATTCACAACTCTGAAAGATTATTTCACAAAAGCTATAATTTGTCAAAAAAGAGTAAAAGGCAAACAATCTTAAACAACTGGAGACGGTGGACTAGCAAAATGCCCACACCACAGAGATGCCGGCAGAAGTTGCTCCCCTTCATCCCACGCACATCAACTCACCAGCAGCAAGAATTATTGTTTCAGAAAGTTTCAGCCAAGCCCCAATTATCCCACTCACCAGCTAGTCCTGCTTGATGCTCATGAGCAATTAGGCACCCAACGCTGGGCTCCCCCACTCCCTGTGTGACCTGCGCCAGGGACCTTGCAGCAGGCATGTCCCCTCCCCTGGGAAAAAAGAAAAAAAGCTCTGCGTGTAAATAAAGGCTTTTCAGAACAAGGCCCCTGGTCAGGCACCCATGGGACTGGCTGGCCGCTGCCAACCCACCAGTGAGAAGTGTCTTGGGGTGGTGCGAGACTGCTGGTGGGGTGCAAAGGCAGGGGAAGGGAGGCAGCAGGCAGAGGGGAGGAACCAGGGTGGGGAAGGGCCAAGCTGGGCGCCGAGGGAGCAGCACCGCGGTTCCCTGGCAGCCCAGGCTGGGCCTTTCAGCCCTCCATCGGCAACTCACAACCATATATCGGTGTCTAATCGGAGAGCCATTCTATATGGTAAATCAGTGCAGTTAACTGATACCACTAGAATTAATGAAACCACTTTGAGGTAGTTAAGTTGAAGGAAAGTTTGAATTGTTTCGTTGAAAAATCAGCTATACTGAAACTTAAGAAAATGTGTAATACATTGGTCAAAACTTGGAAATAAGACTTATTAGTTGTCTCTCAATAAGATATGCAGGTACTTGCATATTTTGTAACCACAGAAGTTGTTACCATTATGTCAGTGACTGATAGTTACATTCCTTTTAGAGCGCATTGACTTGTCTGTAACAGTCATCTTATTCCCTGGTTTGGATTTCTTCACTTGATTTTTTTTTATTATTATTCTAGGAAAATAAAAATGCTCTTTTCTACTTCATCTTTCTCCTCACTGAATTGCCTTGCAGCTGCTTTAGACCATTCTCTGTTTTACCAAAGTAATTATAAACTCTAGTCCTTCCCATGCAAATACTCGCCATCCCATCCCACTTCAGGGTCACCCACAAGTTTGTGTAAACTGGATTCCACTTCTCCAAAAGTTCATGGGAATACGATTACACATTGACCCCAGTTGCCTGAAGTTAGGGCCTGCTTGACACAGGTCCTGCTTACAGAGAACTTTATCCTTTCTAGAAGATCAGATTTCACCCCAGTCCACGTCAGGGTGCGGGGAGCAGCCATCGTGCACCGGCATCTCTTTGGGGAGATCAGCCCTTCTGCAGGGGCTGCGGCGCCTCTGGACGCAGTTTTGGTCCGAAGAGCACGCGAACGCCCTGGACACAGGCTGCCGCTCTCCTGGCAGAGCGGGGGGACAGGACAGGAGCCCACGCTGCTCCTGCTTACGGTTCAAGATAAGGTATCAATGGAAAAGTCACCCTTGAAACATTGTTGTATTCAACAAAGCTCTCATTTTTTCATGCAATTTTTGTAATATACAAGCCAGTTTGGTGGAACTGGGAAGCTGGCAAAGTTTGATCATCCACCTGCTCAGAGCCCCGTACACCCCCACTTACCCACCCAAAAATCTGTGGGGCTGTTTGCTGCGAGAGCCTCCTGTTTCCAAAGATTTACACTTCACATATTTTAGCACGTGCATTTAAGCAGGTATATACACCTGCCACGGGCTGCTCGCACTGATTTGGGGGTTATTTAGCAGAGTCACAGTGAGCAAATCACAGAGCTGCAAGCACACTTGAGGGGCCAGCAGATGCCACAGCCCCCCCTGTGGGGACATCAGCACCAGTGTCCAGAGGGGACTGCTGCATCCTGGCCAGCCACTGACTGGGAACATCGAGCTTGTACCAAATTATTTTATGAAACTGCTGCATGGGTCCTCATCAGACACTCGGGCGATCCCCGAAGTCCAGGGCCACCTACCTTTGAGGACTGCCTTATCACTGGCCAGCAGGGGCTCCCATCTGGCAGCAAGCACCCCCCAAGCCACACCGCACCCCAGACCCACCAGCTCCTGGCTTCTGCCACCACACAGAGAGAGGTCAAACCCCAGAGCCAGCAGCGCCCACCTTACGAAGCCCATGAGCGCAGACCACAGCCAAGCTTCAGCCAGGAGCACCATGGGGCCAGGGACACCCCAGGCAGCCCTACCACAGGGAGCAACACCCCATTGCATGCAACCCCTCCCCCAGGGCTCATTGCAGGAGCTGCCTAATTAGGAGCTGCCTAATTAAGGGGAGGGGGCCTCACTTGACTTGACACGTGCTGTCACACCCAGCCCAGCTGGGGACGCTGGTGCCATCAGCCAGGGCTCGTTCCCTGAACCCGAACCCAGTGCCCGGACATCCCCAGCAGTCACTGTGTCTTGTAGCAGCGTTGCTTGGAACATGCTCAATATCATGTTCTCATGCCAAATAGAAAGTGAAAATGTCGATTTAGGGTTTTCCTGTGTAATAGTGGACTTAGGGGATTTGCAGAATCGGTTTTTTCCTTCTTTTTTTAGGTTAGCTCTGGGCCACGGTATTTTTTTTAGCTGGCATCTTCAGGAGATGGGGGCTTTTAACCACGCAGGGGCACAGGGCTTGAGCGGGTGGGGTGCCTCTGAGCCCACAGGCCATCGCGAGGCTGCTGGCAGTGCTGGGGCCCAGAGTGTGTGGCGGGACGGGGTGCTGGGCTCGTGGCTGGCCACGGCCTCCGTCCCC